AAACCAAGAGTTCAAGGTCATCCTCGGCTATGTAGGAGGGCAACTTTGGCTGCTGCCTCGACAAGAAAAAGAATGTAAAGCTCTCCAGTTAGCAATATCCACATGGTACTCCCAAGTACTTGCGTGCGCCTCTGCCCTCTGCCAGCTGCTGTTTTTCCACAGCAGGACAAGGGAGCCCCGTAAGTGACTGCCGGACAATTAACCATTCTGCTCCTTACTGTCTGCCTGTTGTCTTTATTTGCAAGTTGTCTTGGAAACAAAAGGTTTGTAGTAGCAGCTCTGACCAGGAGAGCCTTCACAGGACACAAATGCAGGGACTCCATGAAGCTCACCGTCATGTGGAAATCAGACATTGAACAGTGAGAGAGTCAAACGTGTGAGGAGGAAAAGTATCCAGTAAAACTTTTATGTCAGTGCTCCCTAGAGCCCCAGGCGCTTCTCCAAACACGCACACGCAGGATTTCTAATGTTCCTGTGTAGTTTTTTAAAGTCTCCAGGATAGCTGAGGCAAGAAGCACTCTAAGGCTATCAATTCTCCTCCCTTTGCCAGAGGAAACTTTGCTTTAAAGATTCTTGGATGAGGTTCTACGGTTCAGTTTTTAAAATGTTACTTTTTTTGTAAAACTAGAGGATTTGTTTTCCCAGTACTTGGGTATTGAACCCAGGGCTCAGATGTGGTAGGCAAGCACCTAACTTAATTAGGCCAGGCTTGTTGAGTATCTCAAATTATGAATATGGGTGGACCCAAACATCCCATGCCTACCATGTTTAGGTTTAACTTCAGATGTAACATAGTGACACTTTATAAACCCAAGAACAAATATATAACTCAGCTATTCAGAATTAATTTTGATGCAGTCCATGCATCAATAAATAAAACTTACCGGGGAGGTACATTCTCCATCAAGAGACTATTCCAGCAAGTCTATTTGCATTTTTGTATAGTGTGTGTGGAAACCAAGGGACAGCCAAGGCCACAGGTTAGGGTGACAGCAGCAGGCCCAGCAGGGGAGTCTGCTGTGTGGCTCCAAGTCTTCATGAGCCACCCTTGAGCTAGGCTCTCTGAAGCCCAGGTGACCCCCTGCCTCTGCACCTTTCACACTATGAGAGCATGCATGCACTCCCATCCCAGGCAGGACAATTCTAAGAGCCACACGTACCAGAATGAGAGTAACACACACACACACACACACACACACACACACACACACACACACACACATTCTGCAGGGCTGACAGATTCCAGAGCCTCCAGCCAGGCTAACCAGCAGAGGTTTTCTGCACAAAGCCCATCTATGAATAGTATGAGAGAGATAATGTGAGAGCCAGAGTTACATTTTAAGTTTCAATTACTGTGCCTAAGAGATCCATGAGACAAAAACGCTTCTGATCTACAAGCCTCTTGCTCAAGGACAGCAGTTCCTGAAATGCTGGAAGCTGTTGTTTATGGGAGATAACAAGGCACAGGCTTTCACTCCTAAACAAGTTTGTCTGACCCATCTGCACCCGATGTGCTTGGGTCACGTGTGGGTGGGAGGTTCACAAATGGGAAATACATCAGGGTGTGTGCTTGCCCCTGACTAGATGTGGGCAGTACCTGAAGATGTATGCTTGCCCCTGATCAGACCTGATGGGAAATACTTAAGCTCCTATAAACCCTGATTTGGGGCCATTTTCTGGAAACCCAGAGATGGTCATACCAGAGCTCATTGACCTAGCCAATATTTAATTAAAGCTTGCTTCAAATTTGACTTTAAACTGTTGTGGTGGTCTTATTCTCGATTGGTGGAGTTAACAGTGGCCTTTTTATCCAAGGTCTCAATCTCAACAAAAACCCATAAAGCATACAGAGGAATAGAGAGCTATGTACTGATTTAAAAAAAAAATCTTCAAAACCCTAACGAGTTTTCAGGCTGGGCATCTGGGGCACTGTAGCACAAATAATTAAAAACCCAGACACAGATACTGGGGTTCAAGCTAAAGATCAGAAAAACAAAGCAGCCACGCCTCTGGAGAGTTCTTACCTCTACCAAGGCTCAGACCAAAAGGGGGTGTCCTGTCCTCAGAGCCTCTGTACTGCTCTCCACCAAACCTCAGGCTGCCTGAGGCTGCAATGACCTCCTGCCTTACGTTCCTCTCTAGTGCTGGGATCAAAGGTGTGAGCTCTGTTTCTCTTCTAGACTGATTCACTCTCATGTAGCCCAGAGTGGCCTTGAACTCACAGAGATCCATCTGCCCCTGTCTCCCGAGTGCTGGGATTAAAGATGTGGCCACCACAGCCTGGCCTCTATGGTCAACTAGTTGCTTAGCTCTGTACTCTGATCTTCAGGCAAGCTTTATTTGTTAGATTACACACAAAATAAAAGGGCACGCCTTTTATCCCAGTAGTTGGGAGGCGGAAGAAGGTAGATCTCTGAGGGTTCAAGGCCAGCCTGGTCTTTAGATCAAGTTCCAGGTCAACCAGAGCTACAAAGTGAGACCCAGTCTAAAAAAGAAATTAGAGTTCTATGTCAGATAAGTAAATTCCTTATCAGGAATTAAAACGTCAAGTAGATGTGGACATCTATGTAAAATCAGGAAAATTATTTAAATGTCAACAGTTAAAAACTGCACCAAGGAACCAAACAAATTCTAGAACTGAAAAATACCCCACTACTTGGGGGTGCTGCAGGGCACCTGACTAAGTTTGAGGCCATCTTGGGGCACAGAGCAAGTGGAAAATTCCCAAGAGGAGTTCAACAGCAGGCTTCATCAGACAGGTGAGACCTGTTGATTATGGAGAATAGGCCATTTGGCACCAGGTCAGAGGAACAAAAGTATAACAAAAACAAAGAGCTAAAGACCATGCGCCAGCACACGTTAGAAATCCTAGATGTAAACAAAGGGAGTGTGTGTGCACGTATGTGTGTGTCTGCATATGTATGTGCGTGTATGTATGTGTGTATGTGTGTGTGTGTGCGTGTGTGTACAATGGAATATAACTGAGCCTTAAAAGGAATTCTGTTGCTTGCTGTAATAGATGGACCTTTATTTCACTAAATGAAATAAGCCAGCAAGGAAAGACAAATTCTTACAAGGCACCATTTAAATGAAACTACCTAAAGTCACCAAAGTTTAGAATCAGAAAGGGGAGGACATGTGGAGGTATGGAAGTTGGTTAATGTGTAGAAAGTTCCAGCTTACGGGATAAGTTCCTGGAGACCTGCTGCAGAGCCAAGTGGGTGTAGTTCCCACCCCCGAAATGCCGACACCTCAGTTCTGCCACGTCGCCGGCGAGCTAAAAGGCAACTGCAAGCCTTCATGCGGCTGGTATAGGCTGACAATCTCGGTCACAATTGCATTGTCTTCTTAAATCGTTTATTCAGAGTCAAACTTTACCCGAGTCCAGCAAACAGGCTCCCCTCATAATCGTTACAGTGTGCCTTTACAATGACGGAATGTTCTGCTGGAGACCACACTGTGTTCATGGTGTCAAACCAACCCAGAGACATGCTGGGCGCGCCGCGGTACTTCCTGGAAGTCTTAACTGAGGGAGGGGGCTTACCCCTCAGTGGCCAGCAGGACTCCCTGAGGCTGCCCACATGCACAGAGCTGTAGGGAAGCAGGCTTTTGCTTCCTGCCTTCGCACTGCCTGGCAAGCCCAGCTACTGCTGCTGCTTCACCGACTTTGGAAGCCAGTTTCCCGGTCTCCAACGTGGACGGAAGAGCAGATGCTCTCCAGAGACTCACCCAGGCCTTCAGCACCAGACCGAGGCTGCTGAGGCATCCAGCCTTGATGACTGATCACATTCTCCAAGATGCAGCCAGCCATTGTTAGACTTCCCGGCCAGTAAGCCAACTTAATAAATCTCTTTTGAGATATATGTATGTACGTACGTACGTATGTATGTATGTATTATGTATATATATATTCATTCTATGATTCTGCCCCTCTAAAAACCCAGACTCACGAAAGCACTAAAATAAAAAGAGGTATGATTCTCATTTTGTAGTACGAGCTCGAGACATTTAGTAATTTTCTAAGGCCCCTGCAGCCAGTGGAGGAGAGGTGGGGTCAAACTGGAAGGCCATGGAGCTAAGCATGCACTTTCTAACCTGTCATACCCTTTCTCTGAAACACAGTCTAATGAGAAAACAGCATCTGATTCAGGGTGCTGCAAATGAAAGGAAAGACAAAGCACTCTTTTTCATTTGTTTTACTTAATTCAAGGCGCAGGCAGCCGGGGCTGCAGAGACGGCTCAGTGATTAAGGGCGCTGACTGCTCTTCCAGAGGACCTGGGTTAGGCTCCCAGCACCCAAGTCCAGCGGCTCAAAACCGCCTGTAACTCCAGTTCCGGGGACTCTGACACCCTCTTCCGAGTTCGAGAGAATCTATACACACAGGGCGTATGTTTATGCAAGCACATATATACACAGAAAAAAAAAAAAACTAAACTAAAAAAGGAGCTCTGTGTTTCAGAGCACTGGCTGCTCTTGCAGAGGACCTGGAGTTTGATTCCTAGCACCCACAAAAGAGCTCACAACCACTTAGAACTCCTGGCTCATGTCTGATGCCCTCTCCTGGCGCTCACAGGTACTGCATGCACAGGGTGCGCAGATACACGTTCAGGCCCCACATCTGTACAAACAGAAGAAAAAACTAGACTGACCTAAAGCAGTACTTCCTCCCACTCCCGTGCTGAGGGATCGAATCCTGGGCCTCGAACCAGGTAGTCAAGTGCTCTACCACTGAGCTCCAGCCCTCTCTCTTCTTCTTATTCCTTCTCTTAATAGAAGAACAAGAAAATACTAGTGTGAGGTAAGGAACTTATTTTTAGATGTAGAGGGAGTTGGGAGAGACGCCTGTGCAGGCAGACCAGTCTTCCCATGGACAGACTCTGTGTCTCCATTGTGCAGTTCCTCGACTAGAACTGGTAAGTGTGTTCATTCATTCCAAAGTTATCAGGCCGGGCTTTTAAGGGTGTTTTCTAAGTGAGTTAAAGGCAAATAGAAAGAGGAGTCTTAGAAATGCATATATTTCCATCTCACAGCTCCCATAGCAGAAAATATTTATATATTCGTTTTTCCAAATTACCTAGAAAAGAAGAAATTTCTTTCAAAATACTTAGGCTATTCACTAAAATCAGTATTTGTTTTTAAATGCTCACCATGTGTTAATACTGAGAAACATTCAAGCTTTTACCACTTCCCAAGAATGAGGGGCCTGACTTCCCAGTTCTGCCTTTAGCCTGTGTCATGTTAGAAAGAAGGGTTGGGCAGGGGCTCCAGGGATGTGTGCTGGCTCTGAACTCGCTTCAGAAGCTGCTGTGCCACAGGCTTGAATTCTGTTTCCCAGTGGAGTCTATGATAGCTTTTTAGATCTTGGTCGAAGCTACCATTCAGCGCTAGCTCTTCATCTGTATTAGGAAAGAAAATCAAAATTAGAGCAATTACATGGAGAGTGATCCCCTGAATGGAGTTCACTCCCCATGGGGGGCTTCTACTCCAGGCTACCTTTAATGCCACGTGACCGGACGTGACTCACTCGATGACACACGATGAGATCTGGGATTAAAAGACATGTATGTATGTATGTATGTATGTATGTATGTATTTGGTGTGCGTGCTTTTGAGATAGGGTCTTCCATGTTGCCTAGGCTTATGCTAATCTGTAACTCCTGAATTTATGTGAATCTCCTGTCTCGGACTTCCCAGGAGAAGAGAATGTGGGCTCAGACCACTGCACATGTGAAAGAAAGCTATTTTAATGGGCATCCTTTAGAACTAAACAAATAGTTAAGGACAACATGTGTGTGCGTGTGCGTGAGTGCGTGCATGCATGCGTGTGTGTGTGTGTTTACTCAGGTCTTTTTGTTTATTTTTACTTTATTATTATTATCAGTATTAATAATTCTGGGTATTGAACCTGATCGTATGTGCACCAAGTACATGTCTGGTGTCTGTCCAGGTCAGAAGAGAGGACTGGATGCCTGGAGCCGACATCAGAGATGGCCGTGAGTGCTGGGAATCAGGACAGTGATTGGAATTTTAGAACCTCCAGCATTCAGCCTCTGCAGTGCTAAGCACTGGGACTGCCGGCACCCACCAACAGAGCCCTGCAAAACAGGTACACCTTAGTGTCTTAATTTAAAAGGGCAATACTTTTGTTGTTGTTGTTTTAAACCCTCTTAGATTGATGTGAGCTTTTCTTTCAATAATTTCCTAAGTTTCACACATCTGTCTGCATCCAAAAGTCCTTTACGATTTTTTCAAAATAAATGAGGAATAGTTGGCTTCCCTTAGATGTGCTTTAGAAAGGTTAATTACTTCAGTAATTAAGAGGTAGGAATCTTTTGGGGGAAATGGGACACAAAAGCCACTCCCCTACCCCACACTTCCCATAAAAACCTGGGGGACGTTGAGAATTCTAAGGACCACCTGAATCCCCAAAGAGAACATTACAAAAAAAAAAAAAAAAAAAAAAAAAAAAAGCAGAAAAGCACTTGTGAAAATAAAATAAAAAAAAAATAAAAGCTTAATTTGTTTAACATAGAGCACACTGAATTGTGTGAACACTCAAACTCGAGTGTCTGTAGCCTGTGTGGAAAAACAAGCCACCACAGTCCTCACCAGCCACCCTGTCTTGGCTGTTCCTATTGGACTCACCTCACACCCTAGGTGACAGACTAGGAAAGTGTGCTGGCTCTGCCATTCCCAGCCCTGTGGCCTGGGGTAGACAATTTACAGGGTGACCACGAAGTCTCAAGATGATCACAAGTCCGGTTACTTACACAACATGCAAACATACATGTTGTAGGGCCAATGAGAGCCCGCTAGTGCATGCCGCTCTGTTTACAGTTCCTGCAGCAGATGTTTGTGTCTGTTCAGAGCGTACTTGGCACCAAGGGTGTTGGTGGCACCGGCTTAGATAAGGGAGTGTAGGATCCCTGTTTGGACTGTGCCCTCCCCTCCTCAAGATCAAGTGCTGGAGTTATGCAGCTCTGAGATAAGTCCGGTGCAGACACCAGCACTCTGGCCAGGCCTCCATGGAGACGGTGTAAGCAGACCTGGCCCTCCCCACCAGTGAGATAATCCAGGCCTGGAGATGGGAGGTACTGCCAGTGTTCCCTGCCTTCAAAGGCCTTCCTGTTTGGCCTCTCCTGGGAGCCTGCTAGACCCAGTGACTCCCAAGTTTCTAGACCATCTTCCTGTTTTCTCTTTTCTAGATCTTTCTGAGCATTAAACAGTTGCTGGCAAAGTCTGTTTCTGTCCTTCTTTCCCGAGGTGTTGAGTTCTAAGCTCCCTTTAAAAGAACTGAAATTCAAGAGCCCTGGCCCCATAGACCCGCGCAGTCCAGCGGGGCCAGCACAGTCATGGTCCTGCCTGAAGCCAAGTTCTGAGAGCCATGGTAGCCAGAGGGGTCAAGCCACAGCACAGACTACACAGCCCGCAGGCCTCAAGATTCACAAGGAGAGGCTGGAGAAATGGTTTGGTGGTCTCAGTGTGGAGACAAGAGCTCAGAGCCGGAACACGGGCTGCAGACACCCACCTCTATCCCAGCCCAAGAGGCTCAGCCGGCAAGTGAGAGTAGCCATAGCAGTGAGCTCTGGATCTGACTGAGGATCGGGTAGAAGATCAACTGAGTCCCAAGAAGGAACCCATGTGCTTTGTCCTGTGAGCCCCGCTCCATGGTCAAACAGAGCTCGTGAAAGCGCTCACCACCACAGTGGCCCTGGTGGAAATGGCTAGAGTCTCGTGTGCCGGGCACAGAGCAGAGCTAAACAGCCCAGATGTTGCCCCTCCAATGAGAAGCCCAGTTTCCATCATAATGTCACCTTTGGCAAGTCGTGTGACCAACTTCTCACTTTCTCCTAAGTGACAGCACTTAGCTGATGGCCTCAAAAACACACTGGGAGTGTAGGAAGGACTTAGAAAGAAATAATAACGTACAGACACGCTGACACAGCAGACTGAGTTTGGAGGGTGGCAGATTTGCAGTTAGCCTGGGCAACTGGGTGGCCGCAGCATCACGATGTAAAGATCCTAAATGACAATTGTGTACCAGCACTCTTAACACAAAGGCAGCAAGCACCCCTCCTGCAAGCCATCCACAGCTTTCCCCATGCACCTACACTGGGTGCATGAGATTTCCTCCCAGGGACCCCGTGGGAGCAGAGAAATAAAGCTGACAAAATCATCGTGAGGGAGAAATCGCACAGGTCATGTGTACGACTGACTGCTATCTATGTTAGCAGCCCAGGGTTCCGGTGATTAGACCGTGGCTGCAGGCTGAGAAAGGGTATAGAGCATGTGTGGACGCCAAGGCTGCAGGAGCCCCAGGGGAATCTTGGGGATGGAGTAGTAAAGCAATAGGCAATAGGCCAAAATGCCTCCTGGAGCTCTGCCTTGCTCGGGAGCCAGCCTTGCCCACAGCTTTCTTGGCTGGTCCTTACAGGCTATGTGGCCCCTGTCACCCTTGTTATTCAGAGCTGATTGTCCCAAGCTTGGACAACAATGACAGCCTTTCAGGCACATAAAATCCGAGGCACACCAAAGCCTCGTACTCCCGGTGTGAGTGGCTGCCAAAGCCATCATGTCTTCTCCCTGAGTGGAAGGCACAGGGAAGAGCGGCTACAGCAGAAGAGACGCAGCAGCAATCAGTGGGTGTGGAAAGCAGAAACACGAAGCAGCAGAGTGCATGCGCAAGCATGAGATTAGAGGGGGCCAGGAGGAACCGGGGAGCTAAGCCCAGGCAGAGGCGGAGCTGGGTCTCTAGAACAGTGGGCCCAGGTTCCTGTGCTGGTCCCTGAGGCGGATGGCTCCCATCAGCCCCCAGGACACTGCACTCTGTTTTCCTGGCTTCCTCCCTCCTCCACATCCCTCCCTGAATCATCCTCATGTACTAGAGCAGAGGTCCCCAACCCTGGCTCGACACCTCAGACTCATGGATTCCCAGCCTAGGCCCAGAACCCCTGAAGTGAGAACCTACTAAGGTTGCACCAGGCCAGCTGTCTGCTCCTCAGCTGATGTCCCAGCTCAGGCCCCGTGGGAGCTGAACTCAGGCAACCTGTGCAAGCATCCCTGCTTACTGCCACCAGAGAGACCTCCACGTTCACAAGGACACTGAGAGCCTCAATCATTTCCAACTAGGTACATTCTTCTTCATAGTCTGAATTTTAAAACGCACACGCACACGTAAACACACACACACACACACACACACACACGCACACACGCGCGCACACACACGTGCGCACACACACGCACACACACGTGCGCGCGCACACACACATCATATATACTTTCAGGACAAACTCCACTAACAGCCAAGCAGACCTGATTCTTTCAAGCACTTTCCGAGCCTCTGTTCCTGTCCAATGACACCCTGCCACACCCCTTAGCATTCACAAAGCATATTAGTCCCCCTTGAGGTCTTCCCTGGTATCAGGCACTCTATTAAACTCTTGGTGTAAGTGCACATTATTCCTACGCACCCTGGAGGGTAGGCATCAGTCAACCTGAATTTAGAGAGAATAAACATATAAGCTTAATGAGGAGGGGTGGTTTGGATAGGAATGGCCCCCATGGGCTCACAGATTTGAGGGCTTGGTCATTAGGGAGTGGTGCTAGTTGACAGGGATTGGGGGGTGTGGCCTTGTGGGAGGAAGTGTGTCACTGGGGGACGGGCTTTGAGGGGGCTTCAAAAGCCCATGCCAGGCCTGGCCTCTTTTTCCTCCTGCTGCCTGAGGTCAGGACATAGAGCTCTCAGCGTCCCCTCCACCACACCTGCCTGCTGCTGTGCTCCCTAACCTGGGGAGAGTGGACTAAACCTCTGAAACTGTAAGCCAGCCTTAGTCATGCTGCCTTAGTCATGCTGTCTCTTCACAACAACAGTCCAGTGACCAGGCCAAGAGGCTAAGGTGCAAAAACCCATAAAGCATAAAGCAAGGACCTGAAATTTGGAGCCATTTGATTCGAAGACTGTGGGTCTTCTACGTTTCTGTGTGATGCTTGTCTAAGCCTCAGTTACCTTCCCGGGACCGAGCAGACTTCATCACACTCCTACTTTAGAAATAGAAGGGCAGGCAATAAAAGAGCTGTGCTATTCAAATAATACCACAAATTCAGTCTGAAAGGACTCAGGCCATGACTTCTGAGTTGCACTGAGCCTTTCCACATAGCCCATCATAATGGGACAATCATGGGCCCCCACTTCTAAGTAAGGAATAGAGTTTGTAAAATTATTCACTTATTAAGTGACATAAATCATTGGTTTTAGACCAATACCAGGTTGGGGGAAAAATTTAAAATAGAAAATAGTTAAAGCAGGAAACGATCTTCAGTTCACATGCTTTCCTACCTTTCAAGCTCGAGGTTATATACTTCCACAGACCCTCTCCCACCTGGTGATAATTAGCACCGCTAATTAAAATGTGTTCAACTGAAAACATGACCTAATTCAAAATAGCTTTTAACCGCTATTTCCTTAGTTATGACGGAGTCTATAAGCTTTTAAACAGCAGAGGCACAAAGGCTGCTGATATTTATGCAATCAAAGACGACCAAGCGGGCGGGCCATAGAAGAAATGAACAGTTAGGAATCCTGCTGCTGCTGCTGCAGACCAACCTCTGCCCGCCGGGTCAGGGAACACAGTTTTCTTACCTGTTTGGTAAAGGTCACAGACGCACAGCAAGGGCCCTTACCTAAGAACGATGGCAGGAGGGTTAGGAGTGTGTTGGTGTCTTCATCTCCAAAGCAGGACGATGCGTTTGTGACGCTTTCACTGAAGTTCCACAGGGTCTTGCACACCAAGCAGGCCAGCTGCCAGTCACTGGGGCCGAACTCTCTTAAGCAATCCAGCAACCTGAGTGAGGGGTGTCAGCAGTTTTACATTCTTGGTATTACGGCTACCCTTCTGGATCCCGTACAATCGGCCTTCAAGTTCCTAGCTACAAACTTAACTGATTGCAGTTTTCACTCACGCTCCTCTGAGTCGTGGTGAAGTGTCCAGTAGACTCCCAACCCCCTCTGAACGACCCCCCAAACCCCCCCCACTGCTTTAGTGGGATGACCGAAGGGCGCAGCCTCCCATGACAAAACACGATGCCAGTGTCCTGAGGGCCAGGGGTCCATGCCTTACTTACTTTTTAACGCCTCCTCCTTCTTTCAGAATGGCACGCTTGTCTTTATCCACGGTGAGGTTTAGCAGAACCCCACAGGCGGAAAAGCAAACGTCCTGGTGCTTGGCGCCCAGCAGCGCAATCATGAACTTGTGTACTGGGAGAGCAGAGAACACGTGCAGAGCATCAAAGCCTGCATCCCAGCCGCAGCTTGTTTGCAAAGGGGGTGGGGTTTGAGGGCGAGGGACACAGCAGGGGTGGGAAAGTGGGAAGGTGAGGCTTGCAACCCTGGCGCCTTGGTTAGCGTGCTGAACGCGCTGCTCTTAGAGCCCGTTCCTGCTTCCCACGGCCCCGCCCGTCACTGCGTCACTGACCCAACAGCAGCCCCCTCCCCGGGGGCGTTCCCGGCTGGCGACATCTCTCCCTACTTCTGGTGGCTCTCAAAGACCTCCAGCTGTGACTCTGGTGCACACAGCCGAGCCAGGTCCTGATGAGCTCTATCCTGAAGCTTCCAGATCATAGAGACGCTTAGAATGCTGGGAACCGGCCTTGACCCTACACCGGCTAGTGTAGGGGCAGGGCTAGCTGGGTGGGCCAATCATTTCCCCTCACTCCAGGAGCTGGAACTATAGGCTGAGTCCTGTTTTCTCATCCCTAAGCAGAGACCCACAGGTGGTGGTGGTGGGGGGGGGGGTCAGGGAGGGGATGCGGTGTGACCACCACCAGGCATCATTTACCAAGCCCCTCAGTGGTGGGTGGCTCACCTGCTGTTCACACCACACCGGTCCAGTGGCTGGGTTGACAATGTCCCCCCCCCCAAACGCTGGTTCAGGGCATGGGGGTTTGGGGTTGCGTCTTGCTGATGCTGCAGCCGCTGTATTTGCATAATCATCTAGATTTATTACCTTTTGCTGTTTGTGGGGCTGGCTGTTTCATTTGAGAAAAGGTCCCAAGCATCCCAGTTACATCAATTCAACACAAACTATAGCCCCCTGGGGGAGGGGACACGCATCAACTGAAAAATGCCTGGAGGGCGTTTTCTTAATTAGTGATGTCCCCCTCTGAGTGGGGCCACCCCTGAGCTGCTCCCAGATGCTGGGTACCGTAAGAAAGCAGGCTGAGCGAACTGGCTGCTGTGCACTGCTTCCCTCGAGGGACCGTGGATCAGGACACGCAAAGCAAATAAGCCCTTTCCCCTTTCCTGTGACGAGCACTTTCCCGCCAGCCTGGTTCCAGAGCCTCCTCAGTCCAAAAATAACACAGAGACTCTATTAGTTATAAAGCTTCTTATAGAGCTTCTTATTGGCTAGCTCTGTCTCAAGTATTAACTCATTCCTGTCAATCTGGGTGTTTCCATGTGCCGTGGTCTTATCTTACCAGAAAGAAGGTCTCTCATCACATCCTACATCTTGACTCCTCTCTACTACATCTCCCAGAATCCTCCATGTCTCCTAGTCCCACCTATCTTGCTTTCCCATTGGCCAACAGTGCTTTATTCATTAACCAATTGGAGAAACATATATATAGAATGACATCTCCCATCACTTCCCTCCCCATGTTGATGTTTCATGGTGTTTCACCACAGCAAAAGTAACCCTAAGACACCAGGGCTGGCTATGTAGCTGGGAGTGACCATCAAGATTTTTGGTTTGGATTTTTGTTTTTTATTTTGTTTTGTTTTTCGAGACAGAGTTTCTCTGTGTAGACTTGGCTGTCTTGGAACTAGCTCTGTAAATCAGGCAGGACTCAAACTCATAGAGATCTGCCTGCCTCTGCCTCCTGAGTGCTGGGATTAAAGGCATAAACAATCCCTTCAAATCCTCAGCCTCCCCCCCCCCAAGCCCCCAAAGTTTTGATCCTCATGCAGCCACCTCCCAAGCGTTAGGCTTGAAGGTTTCCACCCGCACACCAGGTTTATGCCTTCGGATCTAACCCAGGGGCTTGTGCATATTAAGCAAGCACTCAACTAAGCTCCAGCCCCTAGAGCAGTGGTTCTCAACCTTCTTATGCTGTGATACAGTTCTTCGTGTGTCAGGCAGGAGCCAACCATAAAATTATTTCCATTGATACTTCATAACTGTAATTTTGATACTGTTATGAATCATAATGTAAATATGTTTTTTGATGGTCTTAGGCAACCCGTGTGAAGGAGTCATTTGACAACCCTGAGGGTCTCAACCCACAGGTTGAGAATCACTGATGTAGGCAGTTTTGTGAAATGATTACATGAAGTACATGAGACAATGTATGGTTTGCATAAGCATTTGGGTACCGGCCACCCATCTAGTTTAAGAAACAGGGCATTGCATCCAAAACACATTGTTTTTCATCAACACATACAATTCTCATTCATCAATTCAAGCAAAACAAAGTCATAAATCCAACATTGTTATCTCTTGACACTTCTTCCCTCCAAATGGTAAATCCTATCTTAAATACAGTCAATAGTTTCCTCACAGCATTTATATTCTCTATCATTATTACCACATAAACATATAAACATAAATACTACTTGGGGCAGTTTTGTGAATATTGGGGAGATGTTTGTTTTGTAGATTGTTTTGTTGGCTGCTTTATACAGCCCTAGCTGGCCTGGAGCTCATTATACAGACCAGGATGTCCACGAATCATAGAGATCCACCCTCTCTGCTTCCGGAGTACGGGGTAGAGGGTAGGGCTATTCTAAAATTTATACTGGTGACATTATTTTCTATTTCTTACTATAATCGGCTATATTATGTGTTTCAGGCTAATCCATGTTCATGCTTATTCGTGAATGTCTATGATTTATTTTAATTGCTATGGGACTTTTTGTTATGTGAGCATGCATATTTGTTCCTTTGGGGCCTCTGGCTCACCCCTGTATGGTCCTGAAACCCCACCTTCTCGGAGAGCCCCAGAGCAAAGGGAAGGCATCCAAAAACCTGTTCTGCTTCCTTGGAGACTACTGCAGAGTCCTCCCCCTAGGCTGCCAGCGACCCAAGTCCCCGCCTAACCGCCGCTCAGCCACTGACCATACTTGAGCACAAACCCAGCTTGTGGCAGACCTGTCATGACCCCTTGCCTACAACCTATAAGACTTACCTGCCCTGGCCTGGGTGTGTGATTTCTCTGGCCTTGATCTCTGGGACCAGAAAATATGGCCAGGAGTTGCGCCTGCTGTTACATTTTTTCAGTTCAGCTTGATCTGGCTTACCGTGTTGGTGGAGAAACTTATTATAGGGGTGGAAGGTAGCAGAAAACCTAATAATATTTGTTCGACACTTAGTTTGTTTTGCAGTTACAAGCAAAGTGTAATAGCATGTGAATGAGAAAAATCTCCAGTTTATCCCCAGGGGTAGAAATGAGTGCAGATCCATTAAACACACACACACACACACACCACACACACACACACACACACACACACACACACCATGCACAAATGCATAGGCACTGCCTTATCCTATCCCTTACAAGGCTACTCTTAGGGAGAGAGAACATAGCCTTGATCTATTCTGGCATCCTGAGCTGTCCCCAAGATGGGACAAATGTGGTTCATTTCAAACAGAAACAAGCACAGTGCTTAATCATCTAACCTTCTAAGCCACTCAGCTCACTAATGGCAAGAGTCATGTGCTTAGAATCTCAGCTGTCACTAACCCACCGTTTTTCTGCATGAGGAAATTGCAGACGTCATTGTCCTGAGAGAGGTTTCCGAAGACACGCACAGCCTCCAGGATTCCATCCATGTTGTTACTCACAAGGAGCTTTAAGAGCACTGGATTTGGCAACCAGAGAGAGAAGGTGAATAAATTTAAATTAACTTCCAAATACCATTTATACTTTCTCCCATTACTACATAAGTATATATACACTTAAGCAATAACAGAGGTAGTATTGCATGTAAGAGCTTTGTTTATGTGGGTTTGTTGCTGCTGCTGCTGCTGTTTGATTGGCACAACCCTAGCTGTCCTGGAACTCACTCCACAGACCAGGCTGGCCCTTAACTCACCGAGATCCACCGCCTCTGCCTCTGGGCCTGAGCCTTTCCCACAGTTTTACACTGGTGACATTATTCTCTGCTTCTTACTATAACTATTCTCTGCTTCTTACTATAACTGTTCCCGTGTTCAAGGTTCTCAGCTGTGTGGGGCAGCCGACTCAGTGATGCCTCAAGATGAGTTTTAGGAAGTAAAATCAAGACCTTAAACTGGTAGGTGGTGGCTCACACCTTTAATCCCAGCACTTGGGAGGCAGAGGCAGGCGGATCTCTGTGAGTTCAAGGCCAGCCTTGTCAACAAATGGAGTTCCAGGACAGCCTCCAAAGCTACAGAGGAAAACCCTGTTTTGGGGTTGGGGATGGGGGATCACCTTAAATGAGTGAAGCCACGCCCGATCCACGCCCAACTGAGCCTTACATTCAGCAACATGCAGCTTCTGGTGTTGCAGGATGGAGCTCTTCACTTGATAGAAGGACAGGTTGTTGATGGCTGCTGTGGCGTTGATCACCAGCTCCTCGCAGTCGACCAGTGACTTGGATTCTGAAACCAGGTGATCGGGGAGTCAGGAAAGGATAATGACTGGAGGGTCACTCCTCTGAGAGGCAGGATGTGGGAACTAGAGTCGCCAAGACCAAGGCATGTGAGTGGGGTCAGGGACATCTCAGCTCACTGAGGGTTTGTCCCCTTCAGTAGGGACCCACCTGACTTCTCTAGACCTGGCTGTGGGAATTGGCTAGCATGCCCTGCGTGGCTGCATCCCCCTGCGGGGCAGTCACATCATAGGGGATAAAGCTTCTCCAAAGCGGTGCCTCTCGAGCCCCCACGCCCAGCTTGTTCCCCGTCCCCAGCCTCTGTCCCTGTGACTGAGACATCACCGGGGCCGCAGGGCCAAGCGTTCCTGACTCCAGATCACTTGGCTCTGTCTTCCAGTCACCCCAGCCCCTCACCATCTCTGGTCTTCCTGCCTTCCCGTGGTGGGTGCCAGAATTACAAGTACACACGCCCATCATGCTGGTTTTGTTTGTTTGTTGTCTTTTTTGAACCCAGCACTTGAACTTTAAGTATTTACTGGGGCTCCAAGTGAATTTACATGAGCTGCAGATGCAGCTCCGCTGACAGAGGGCTTGCCTGGAGCTCTGGTTTGATTCCCAACATAAACTGGGTATGGCGGTGTGCAATTGTAATCCCATTCATTATTCATGGTGTGGAGGCAGGAAGATCAGGAGTTCAAGGTCATCCTTAGATACAGTTTAAGGCTGACCTGGTCTATATGAGAAAAAAAGAAAAGAGAAAAAAGAAGAAGAAGAAGAAGAAGAAGAAGAAGAAGAAGAAGAAGAAGAAGAAGAAGAAGAAGAAGAAATAATAAACACTCCATGGGCATTGGCTTAAGAGTTTTAGGTTAATACATAAGGGGAACTTCGGTGATATTTTTTTCTCTCACTCTGCCTCTGGACTCATCTCTTGATGCTGTGGTCACCACGCAGAGGAGGACAGATTCAAATATAGACCAGGTGAGAGCCGCTGATAGCACGACACCCCGGAGCATGGGGTGGAGACCAGTGGGGTACCATGGGGTGGGTACCATCGTGAAGGGGAGGAAAAACCCTGAGCGACCCTGGGTTTGGAGCTTCCCGGACTGGCAGGTGACGTCTGCGTCTGCGCGTGGTTTGGATGCGGCTCTTCTGTGGTGGCCAACAGTGAGGGGCGGAGTCTAGTGGGAGAAGGGTGTGTCCCACCGTCTCTCTAAGACTCTGTGCGCTCATGGGGCATGCAGTCACAGGCACATGTATAAACGGACCAACTGGAAAGGTGGGCCGTGAAGGACGGGGACTTGATTCCAGGTGACAGGAAAACTGGAAAGGGAAGTGAACTTTCTTCGTGTGGACCGCTCCCGGGAAAATGTGGAACTTTTCACCTTCAGCCAGGTTTTGCTCTTTTGAGCGATAAAATTGTTTTAAATTGCGATATGCCAAAACCTAACCTTTTAAATGTTTCCCTTACCTACTTACCTGTGTGCCTCAGCCCACAGTGCATGTGTGCAAGTCAGAGAGTAACTTATGGAAGTTGATTCTTTCCTTCTGCTATATGGATCCTGGGATAGAACTCCAGTTGTCAGGGCTGGCCACAGCCCCTGTACCTTGGGAGCCACCCCAGCAGCCCCGAATTCACCCTTTAATGGGCATGTGCTCTTTGGGAAATAGTTACATCACTACCGGTCTTCCTGTTCTGAAATCTGGGGCGCGTTAAGGTACCCCTGAGCAGAAAGGCTTTGTGGTGGCAGGTTTGGGTTTATCTCATGCGGCCCAGGCTGGCCTTTAACTTCTCTGCCTCTATTTCCTGAGTGCTGTGATTACAGGTATGAGCCACTGACACCGCACACGCGCCAAGCAGTACTGGAAGTTGAACCCCGAGGTGTGTGTGTGTGTGCATCAGGCAAGCATTCCCCCAAATGGGCCAAATCCCCCAAAGTGTTTTTCCTTCCCACAGCTAAGGAGGGTCCTTAAAGTGATCTAAACCCTCACCACAGCCCTCCCAAGGAACTGACTGTCTCGTCTACAGTTCTCACCCAGCGTGGTCAGCAACAGGCCCACCACCCGAGGGTTGGCGGCCAGCACTGGGCCGATGCGAGGGTGAATGGCTATGTTGGCCAGGACTCGGGTCAGCTTGACCAGCACATCGTCGGCCTCTGCTGGTGGCCTGGCTCCTGAGGAGAGCCCCAGCCTTGGGGAGTGCTGGTCGAGTTGGTAGAAATTCTGGAACAATGTGAGCAGAGTTTCGATGCTCCCTTGCTCTCTGGAGAAAAGTTCCCGGGCCTGGTTATTTTTTGCTGTCAGGTTGCCAAGGATAAACACAATTCGAATTACTAAATCCTGCAATAAACAAAAGACAGAGTGTTACAAGCCCAGAGGAGCTGGCACGGTCTTCGGAAAGACTACGGTCTTATTTGATTTATCCACACTTCACTAATAGTAAAATGGGCCACATCTGTCTTCTACAGAGTCTTGAAGCATGTGGGCCTCAAGATGGGTGCAAAGTGACAGAGGAGATTAGGAGGGCTCCGTGGCCCTGAAAAAAAAAAAAAAAAAAAAAAAAAAACGCAAAGTGGCTGACAGGAGCCTTTACCTCAAAATCCGGGCGGTCTTTTAAAAAGTTGCCTGAGAACAGTTAGTTGAGTGAATTAAGAATGTCGTGGGAGTCACAGTATTGAAGCTAACAGATTTCTTGAACATCCAAATCCTTTAGGCACCCCTGAAAAAACCCTCCCTCCTCTACACCTCCACTCCTCACTGCAGTACTGTGTACTCAAAAATCAAGCACCTAATAGAGGAATAGATTACAACAGCCCCCCCCCCCTCCGCACACACACAGGGTTTCTCTGTGGCTTTGGAGCCTGTCCTGGAACTCGCTCTGTAAACCGGGCTAGCCTCGGACTCACAGAGATCCACCTGCCTCTGCCTCCTTAGTGCTGGGATTAAAGGTGTGCGCCACCAACGCCCCGCGCAACAGAGCTTCTTGATTTCAACACTGCTGACACTTGCAGCAAGGGAAGTCTGCTAGTCTGTCTGTCCGAGACAGGCAGGCTCTCCTCCTGAAGCCCCAGCTTATAACCGCTGTGCTACTGAGAGACCCCATATTAAAACAGTAGCCACTAATTCTGGACATGAGTGATGGCCACATAACTAAAACTGTTTTTTAGTTTATACATGTGTAAATGTACTTTTCTGTACATATGCAGTATTATAAATATATTGTTACTTATTGGCTTTTCTTGAGATATGGTCTCGTGTATCCCAGACTGGCCTTGAAGCTACTTTGCAGCCAAAGATGACCCTGACCTCCTGGTCTTTGCCCCCACCTTCTGAATGCTGGGATTGCAGATCTGTGGCACCAAACCCACTTTATTTGGTAGTGGGAACTAGGTCCAGAGCTTACTGTATATTGGAAAGTGTCTGCCAACTGGAACCCACCCCCCCCCCACAAAGTTCTCAAAGTGGGTTTGCTTGTTTGTTTTGTCTTGTGTTTTTTTTTTTTTTTTTTTTTTTTTTTAAAGAGAGGTAAAATCTAGACACAAGAGGCTGAGGAATTACCATGAGTTCAAGGCCAGAATGGGCTACATGATGAATTCCAGGTAGCCTGGGCTAGACAGTGGAAAGGAAAGGAAGGAAGGAAGGAAAAGAAACACGAAGGAGAAAATCAGAAGAAAAGTAAAATAATTGAAACCCTAACACGAGAAACTTTTAAAGATACAAACGTATGTATGGCTTTACTTGGGCGTGGTGCTGCAGTAAAGCAGAGGGTCACGAGTTCAAAGTCATCCTCCTCCACTTCACAGCAAGTCTGAGGCCACCCGACCTACCTGGCACAAATAAACAGCTGCTTTCTTAGTTTGACAATGGTTCACAGGAGAATGGAAATGAGCCCTATTAGTCCAGGGTGGTGAGTGAGTAGGCAGGGTCCCATGGGAGCAAATGATACAGGAATCCTAGCTAAGGGCCATCACTGGGCTGGAGGTGGCATTTAGGGCGCCGGCTACAGAGCCCATTTGCACGGGGTACCGCAGAAGCTCTGCAGGTCCATGCTTACAAACTGCGACAGATCCCAGACCCTGGGGTCCTTCCACACAGGGGCCATTGGTTTCTCTCCTCTGCCCTGCAGCCTTGAAGACAAGTTAAGGACTTTGGCCACCAGCTAGGGGGCTTTTCACCCTTCTGGCTTTGCTGATCACATAGGTAGTTATGGTAGCCTTAAGGAAGTGGGCAGGGCCAAGGGCTAGGCACAGTCTTTAACAAGGTGCAAAGGAACAGGTGAGGTCCCTAGGCCCAGGGCAGGGGGTGGAGGTGGCAACCAACAGTTGGGACAAAGGGCACCTTTTGACCCCACAGAGACAAATCTGCCAACGCCAGCTTGTTCCAGCTTGCTCTTGTAGAAATGTCCCTGAGCCCGGCAGAGCTCCAGGGTGGCTGTCACTGGTGCAGCTGTGCGCCACTTGCCAACATGAAGAAGAGGCGGAGCCCAGTGCCGTGGCAAGGACAGGAGCCCACCCAGGAGGGGCTCATTTCAGAGACCACTCAACTCACAGCACTCAGCAGTCATCATTAGCTGCCCTCCCAGCCCCACCGTGGAAAGGAATCCTTCATTCCCAGCTACTGCTTAGATGGGGAGGACTGGAGCGTGGGCACACAGAGGCAGGGTACCAACATTCGGAACAGCTTACAAAGCTACTTGACAAGCACAGGCTAATCTGTGAGCAGGGACCTCTGTGCGGAGAGTGGGGCAATAGCTGGAGAGCCACAGCCGCAGCAGACACGGGCCTCCGGACCCCGAGTGACGGCATCACCACGCGGAAGGAGTGTGAGACACGGACACGGGCACCGTGTGACCACACTGTGCCAACAGCTCCGCTAACAGCGCAGAACTGTGGGGCAGACCCAACCAATTCAGGAAGGGGTGCTCAAAGCTGGGAGCTCTCAGGGAGGGGAGTTCAAAGCCAGCCTCTGAAATGAAGGGAGGGAGGGACAGAAAGAGGAAGAAAATGGGGGCGAGATGGAGAGAGGGGAAAGAAAAAGGAAAGGGGGGAGGAAAAACAGAAAAGAAAGAGTTGGAAGAGATGGATGGAGAGACAGAGAGGCAGGTGAGAGGCTGGGGGGGGGGGGGGAAGGCCCTTGCTGCCAAGCTCGAGGGCCCGAGTTCAATCCCTGGAGCCCCACATAATAGATGGAGGAAAGCTGCTCACCAGAGTTAGCTTCTGACCGACCGCCACATGTGGGTCACGGCACGCCCATGCCTGCACATGCTCTTGAACGCGCACGCGTGCACGCGCGTGTACACACTCTCACACTCACACTAGGAAGGTAGGGGAAGGTAGGGGAAGGAGAGAGCCACTGGGTAGCAGAATTGTCACAAACGACCCTGAGATCCACCTTGAAATGCCTCGGACACTGGCTGTGTGGACATCTTCAAAAGGCCTGTCGTCAAGGTATCATTGTTTGGCTGTTTGCATTCTCCAGAGCCTGGGGGGGGGGCTTAAATCTGCAATAACCACAGCATTTCACCAGGACACTGAATCCTTCAAGCAATTCCCCATGCCTAAGGCCCTGGGCTCTGGAGACAGCATTTCCAACACCGGGCCAGGGGCCGGTGAAAAGCAGGACAGAGGGGATGGCCAAGCACTAAGTTCCTTGACAGCAAATTCGGCTTCCTGTTTCCCGAGCCGATGACTTGTGAGCAGAATTTCTGCAGAAACCGATTTGCTTTCTGCCCCTTACAGCTCTTCCTCTGTAATGATTAATGCCAAACGCAGCAGGAGTGTAAGAGACCAGCACACCAGATTGACCAGGTTCCAACGAGCTCTGATAAACACCGTGGCCAAATGCAACTTGGGAAGGAAAGGCTTTATGCTTCCACATGGCTGTCTATGGAGGAGGGGCGTGGGCGTGGGAACCTAGAGGTTGGAACTGACCAGAGGCCATGGAGGGGTACTGCTCAATTCAGTCACCCTTCCTTCCTTCCTCCCTCCCTCCCTCGCTCCCTCCCTCTCTTCCTTTTGGTTTTTCCAGACAGGGTTTCTCTGTGTAGCTTTGGAGCCTGTCCTGGAACTCTCCCTCTGTAGACCATGCTGGCCTCGAGCTCACAGAGACCCTCCTGCCTCTGCCTCCCCAGTGCTGGGACTAAAGGTGTGAGCCACCAGCTCCGGGCTCAGTCACTTACACCTCCCAGGGCCACCAGCCCAGCAGTGGCATCGCCACAGTAGGCTAGGCCCTCTCACTTCCGTTATCAATTAAGAAAACGCCCCATGGGCTTGCCTACAGCCCCACGGAGGCAGGCCTGTCTTTTCTCATGAGGCTCATGAGGTTCTCTCTTGCCAGGTGACCCTAGCTTGTGACAAAACTAACCTGCAAACAGGGCTTACTAGACCACACATGAACCTGGCGCTGACCTTCGACCTCTGACATCTGGACGAAGCTGTTCCCAGCATCTTATCCCAGGCATCAAGCCCCGCCCCCATTTCCACAGCAGCTCCCCTGTGGTGCTCTGCTACCCGGAGAGGGAACATTAAAGCAGACAGCAGAGGCAGTGTGAGTGATTTAAAACGTCGTCTGGGGGATTTAACAAATAGCTTATTCATGTTGCTAAACCATTGTCAGGACTAACCCATTTATTCCCCAAGTGTCACTGCTGCTTTTGGGAAGACCCCTCGGTGTCTCCTTTCCTTGTCTTCTTGCTCCCCCTCTCCCTGGGTCCCTGTGGTATTTCCTCCACCTACCCCTGGCGCTCAGCCGCCAGGGGCGTTTATTCCAGAACCCGAGAATTCATCTGGACAGACCCAAGTGTTACTTTCCCCGAAACTCCCCCTGGGTCCTTGCCACGTCTAAATATTTTTTATTCTACCGTCTGTGTGGGTCGTGGCGTGGCGTAGATGTCTCCGCTCGAAGTGGCTGGAGGGCGGGAAGAGTTAACGCTGTCACAATGCTCTCTTCCTGCCTTCGGATGGAAAGGGAGGGGGTGGTTCCTGGCAGCGGCCGTGCCAACCGAAGCATGGCATGCAAGAGCAACAAACGGGGGTGACAGATTGCGCCGTTTGCAGCCCCCAGCTTCCGCCAACTGCTCCTGTCACTGTTTCTGTCCTTGGACTGAGGCGCCTTTTGTTCCCACCTTCTCAAATATGGTTTTCCAAGGAGCCAAGAGTACAGAACAGTCCAAAACAGAGTCAGTCTCCTGGAAGGCTGTTCCCACACTCGCCACGCTTGTGTGGCTCACCTTCAGACTGAAGTTGTCAAAGGTCTCCCGCAAGGTCGTGGCCTCACCGAACGTGGCCTGGGCACTGCCTTTCCAGCCCCAAACCAGGCCTGCCCAGCGGTGAACTACTGCT